CTTGAAAGGAAGCAGTGGCGGTTTTGCTGTCGACGAGTTAGTTTGGCTGTACAACCCACAGCGGAAGAAAGGACGTTCTCCAAAGCTCCAGCGAGGGTGGGAAGGACCTTATCAAGTCATCACCCGCTTGAATGACGTCGTCTACCGTATTCAGGAATATCGGAAGCCGAGAGCAAGAATGAAGATCGTCCATTTGGATAGACTGGCTCCGTACCATGCGGACACCGGAACGAAAGCTGTTCGGGACGAACAGAACTAAGAAGGGGGTAATGTTATAACCGTGCTACCGAACGCACTAGATTCTAGCGTATTCTAGAATGTTCTAGTGACTGGAACGTTCTAGAGTATGCTGGAATCGGACCATCGGGAAGAATCTAGAAACGACGCTTGCGAAGAGTATATAAGCGCACGTCGCAAGATATTTGGTTTTGGTGATATTCGTGATTGGGATATTCGTGATTAGTGAAATTCGTGATTTTGTGAATAGCGATTCGGTGAATTATTTAAAGCGATATTTGAATTGTTTGTTGACGTTGTCATAGCGATAGATTTTGAAAGATTTAAAAGTTAATTGTTGCGTTAGTGCGAATTTACTGGAAATATACGATTAGTTGATTTCTTCTGTAAGTAAAGTTTAATAGCTGTTTGGAGTATTTTATTCATTGACGAAGATTTGAACCCGTCGCATCGTAAACCGGTTACGACAGCGAATATTATAACATTATTATGAAATTTATTTCGGCATATAAAATTTGTTTCACTAATCTGATCACCAACATTAGATCATTATAATCATAATCATAATGAAACCCACCATCTCCATCATCTCAAGATCATCAAAATCCTAGATGATATGTTCAAGGATATCCCTGTCTGATAAAAATCCCAGAGCGCTGAAGACAATGATGATAGGAATTTCCTGTTTGATGTATGGAAGGAGAGCTACGATACTCTGTTCAATACCCACGTTTCTGACACCCTAAAAAATAAAAATGGTTATGCAAAAAGCCATTATAACACAAGATGACGTAAGGTGACAACAATTGCCACCATCATCACAGCATCATCATCATCATGACTTACACTTCCTTCTGCCAACAAATTGACCCACATGGTGCTGGTCGGTCTCGAGGAATGTTCCAGACACGATCTCAACTCGGTTTTGTAGGCGTATTTAGAATCTTTCTGACTAAAAACGTACACTGTGTTGTTGGCCATCCTCTCCTGGGCGATGATAACTTTTTCGGTATCATTGATGATGAAATAGCCCCCAGGGTCAAGTGGACATTCGTTCAATTCTGTCAAATCACGATCTGTCAATCCACTAAGCAAACAGTACGTGGATCGCAAAATTATGGGGATTTTACCTGGAAAATGTTATTAAAATATTATACTAGCATTAGTATTTTTAACAATTATAATAAAAAAAAAGATTTTATAAATTTGTATTTTTTTGAAGAAAACATATTAACTCTTCCTAACCAAGAAAGTTTTCTGATGATTTGTAACGACTGGTTCTTGCCCATCCCTAATGACTTTTTTAGTGATGTCGACATAAAGGGGGGACGAGTACGTCAGGTTACGAAGACGAGCTTCGTTGGGCATCATCGGACTAGGAGCGCCATCTTTCTCCCAGTGCGTTGGTTTAGGTTAGGTTAGGAAGAGTTAATATGTTTTCTTCAAAAAAATACAAATTTATAAAATCAATTAAATTTTTATTCTTTTGATAAATAAATTTTTTAATAAACTAAAAATAAATAAGCTTTTATGGCAAGGGAAAAAAATTTATTCGTTTGTCGTTTTTACGCTTGCAAATTGATTTTTGAATAATGGAGTAGATGAATGGAAGATGAATGGAGGCATTTTTCAGGCAATTGTTAAACTCTTAATTTTGCGTTGCACTACAGGTAGCGTATTTATAGATGATGGAATGCACTTTACATTTTAATTGAAAGCCACCAGATGAATTGGACTGTAATAGTTGCATTTGCTTGTATTGGCAATTTACACGCTTGATGCATTTGATATTCCGAATTTTTTTTTAGTCAGAAATATTAGTGTTGGTTGAATTTTAGATGTTCTTTAACTTAAACAATTATTTCGTGTTATAATAATTTTTATAATAATGATCGTTGTTATAAAAACATTGGAAAAATGAATTAATCAACGGATCAACTTTATGGAAGAGCACGTGTCTTAATCTCAATGCTATAGATCCTGTTGGTTACCAGATGCAGTCAGGCGTGCTTATAATTTGCAGTGGCACGACAAGCGCATGTTCAAAAACAAATGGAAAGGCTCTCTTGTTCAATCAATTATATTAAAAAAAATTATAGTTGGAACAAATAACTCAACAAACTTTTAAAAACAACTATCGGCAACATATCAAGATGGCAAGACTTAGTAGGTGAACTCGTGATTGTCTCATATGAACAACCTGGAGAGAAAAAATTCAACCATAAAAAAAAGAATCGCGAACAAAAAATTTTATCATTAAAGATGCTGTATGTTAGATAGCTTTGAAAGAAACAATCAACTTTCCTATAAAAATGATTTTGTTGACAACATATTTTGGATGTGGTCTCATACCCAACTTTTCCCAATGCCTTCTCCCTTTAGTGAGAACAATTTGGTATATTCATCATCAAGAGTGCGATTTCAAACAGCCAAATTGAACTGATTTAGATTTTGCTTGACGATTCATTTAAATTAACGACATTTTCTTTTCATCATTCTCTAGTTAAAATCAAACCAAGGTGCACTGGATGACAATGATGATGACAATGGTGATGATAGTTACGATGTAGAGGATGATAGCAATCGAATGCGAATTAAAACAACATACGTTAATACCTTCAATATACTAACTATATATATATATATATATATATATATATATATATATATATATATAACTATATACACAACACAGCAGGTACACAAATGGTGCAACTACGCGGTGGTGTAATTGTTAAGGTGCCAGGCATTGTTGATGTAGCGTCCTGATTCGAATGTAAAGAAATCCCCGCCCGTCACATGTAAAAGTGTGTGATGCATTGATTTACGTGTGTTTGTTGTAATAATAAATTCACCTCAGTCGCTTGCCATGGCGCTATACAAAATAACATTATTAAATACACACATGCGCTGCTGTTCGGCGAAAACACATCAAATAGGATGTGTTTCAAAAATTTTTTGGATCATAATGGCAACATAATTATTTTTGTATTAAAATAAAATCGTTTTGTTGATTTTTTTTACTTAACACACACCGACAAAAAAACCGCCATCACTGAATCAGATCATTATTAAAAAGAAGCTTCTACAGAGAAGGATGAATTATTATTCTTCATAGAGAAGCTTCTGAATAGCGTGCACAACTGCACAGTGCGCATATACTGCACGTATATGATGCTCTGTCTTAAAAGTGCCGACCTTCTATTGTAAAACGTGATGCGTTTCTTCATATACAGATGCAAAATTGCTCGCAACCAAACGCAAAAATAATTCCATTTCCTCCGTGCATTTTGTCATGCGCACTGATGAAAGGATGACAATCTGAATGCAGGTTGTTCTCAGACATTTGCAGGACTCTGTTAAAATTAATTTTATGTAATTGAATTAAATTTTCGAATCGTTATTAGATGGGTATTGAGCTATTGAATGTTGAATAAGTACATGAAATAATAATCCAACGATAAATAAATAATTAAAATGATGCAATAATAATTAATTACTGAACGAATATTTGGATAAAACTTAAATTATCCAATAACTTTTTTAGTTAATTGCAACATTAGGTATGAACAATTTATAATTTTGAAATAAAATTTTGTTGATGTTGATGAAAATATTTAAAAAAAAAATTTTTAATGTTATATCTAATACAAACAAATAGTTACGGTGTTCAAATGTCTGACTCAATTGAAACGAAACAATTTTTCGTATCGTTTTTCGGGTTAAAATAATAATTTATTGTAAATGTTGAATAATCTAAACTGTACAATTCGAATGTTGATAAAGTTGTACTGCTGTCAAATTACGTTGCCAACAAATCGTCATACATGAAAATTTTAAACTTCGTTTACTGAAAATGGAATCAAATTCAAACGAGAACAACTCAAAGCCTGAATGGACAGCCAACCGAAACATTTACATCACAGATGTTTTCGAGAATAGTAGTTACGAAATAAACATCATCTCGATGAACCCCAACCTAAGCCTCATGACAAATCGCTCAAATAGAACAAGCAAGAACTACGAAAACACTTCCGATGAACATTTGAACCAAATTTGCGGTAACTTAACACATTTGGATAGCGAAGACGTTTTATCTCTCAACATCGTTCGGTATGGCTTAACATTTTTCTGCTGGCTATGTATCCTCCTTTCTACTTGTGGCAACTTATTCTGGATCATCTTTATGTGGAAGTCATCCAAAAGCAACAAATCTTCCAACATCATACTCATTTTGAATCTGGCAGTCTGTGATTTCATCAAATCGACAATAGTTGCTCCACTCAGTATCATTGAACTTCATTTGTCACAGTACAGACACGATGGTGGTAATATTAGTTGTTGCCGCTTTTTGATCTTTTTCATGTTTTATTTGGCCTTTGTAGGATTTCATACCGTGGTGGCAATAAGCCAGGAGAGGTTAGTTCTCATTTGTTTCCCATTTCATTTTCGAAAGTGGTTCAGTCGAAACGTAGCTCTCATGGTCATTTTCATGATATGGGTGACTTCCTTTATGTTTTCGCTGCCATTTTCTCTATTGTACGCCAAAACGGTTAAAGTCTCCATGTCTTACGGAACTGTCTTCTACATGTGTTCGTCCATATTTTTCTGCTCCGATGAAATTTCTAGTGCAAAAACTTACATCATCATCATTGCCATCCTCTACTATTTTATTCCAGTTTTAATTATTTCTACATCGTATGCGAAAATATTTTGTAGTTTGGACGAAGCGATAAACAAATTGAAATGCAGTACGTTTAATGAGCTTAAAAATGGTTCGGAACTAAAAGCTGATGTTCAGTCTTATCCAAATGCTGATCAAAACCACCAACAACCACTTTCAACACAAAAATTAGTAAAAAACAGCATTCTAGTGTCTCAAAATTTGTCCATTCGAATGGAAAGTTTCCATTCAAGAACACCCTCCATCAACACTTTGAAAATAATCCAACGCCGAAGAATTCTCTCACAGATGATGGTAGTGGTGGCCGTCTGCTTTGTACTCTTTCAAGGACCACTCATCATCATCTACATCTGCTTCAGTTTTGGTTACAGAATCGAAACAAATTTCCTCTTCATAATTATCATCGTTAAAAGCCTACCAATGATTAGCTCTATGATAAACCCATTTGTCTACTCTTCAGGGTGGAAGATTTTCAAAAATCACTAATGTGAAAGTCTTGAAGATATTCAATCTTTCATTCAATGTGTTCACAATTTTTTATTGTAACATTATCAACTCTACATTTTTTTTATTAAATTTAATTCTTTCAAGTTCCGCTGAACAAATTTGAACTTAATTGATTGCAAATATCAATAGAACATTTAGCTTACTCTATCTAATGTATCATAATCGGGTAAAATTTATGAAAAACGAAGACTTTTTCATTTTTTTTTAAATTTTTCAATCAAATATTTCACAACGTGTGGAGAATTAATCTCAATGAAAACAACGCATCCGTACAATGCTGGTGTATTTATAAACGCAAATTTCAATTCAATATGGCCCAATATTTTAAGACTACTGTGAAAACCAAATTAAAAGAGTGCACAGTAACAATTGTATTACAAGAAAACTAGTTAAATAAATATATTTATGTTTGAGTTGTGTGTATCTATGTTTGTGTGGGTGTGCGCGTACAATATGTCTGTGTAGGTGTGTTTATTGGCTTTTATGTTTGGTCAAAATTGTACGAACTAGCTCTATGTGCACTGTTTCATTTTTTGTGACAAAGAAATATGCTACTGTATATGAATAGATTAAAATAATGATTAAACCTTTGATAAATTCTAACTGTTTTTTACTTTTATGATTAACTTAATTTATTAACAGCATGCTACTTCATTTACACATCATTTGGCGATACTTTTTCAATTAATTTTTTTTTGTTTCGCGTAACTTTTTTTTCATTAATTTCTAACTTCTTATTTTTATTTGATGTATTTTCTTTTTGGTGGCCCAGCAAGCACTACTTCAGATCGCTGAAAATTCTTGAGAAACAACACGTTTCACGTTTATTCCAATCGTTTTTAACCCTTTTTATTCTGTATCCCCTTAAAAAATAACCCGCAAAGCCCTGTTTCCCCCCTATAAAAACGAAACATTACCCACCCTCTGGTAGGCCTACATTTGGAAACACCAACTAGTTTAGAGATACAATACGCCATAATCATTCCGAATGATGGAATGTTAATTCGTGTTGCTGTACTGAATGGAGCTTGCAGGCATGAACAAGCACCTGAAGTATAAAGTACTTCTCTCTGCTGATCTTATCGGAGCCATCACTGCGGAAAGCGTTATATACGGACTATGTATATAACTTGATGTTATAGCATCATCATCGTCATCGTTTACCATCATTATCATCACAGAATTTGTTATATATATATATATATATATATATATATGTATATATATAATCATTATATATTGGTATTAATCAATTTACAGTTTGTCTTTTCAATTCTCCTTACATCACCAACCAATAACTTTGTTAAAAAATTTTGCTTTGTCTGAAAAAACTATATAAACCAAACTTGCATTGAAGACAATTTATGAAAAATCGAAATAAAGCCTTATCTGCATAATGAATTTAGATAGCAACAGTTTCATTAAATTTTGAATAATGATACTATTTTCGACAAACTTGACAACTTCCAGAAAATTCTAGTTAGGGAAATTGAAAAGACAAACTTTAAACTGATTATTGCCAACAATTCCGTAGAATTCATACAATACTGCATATATATATATATATATATATATATATATATATATATATATATATATTCCATTGTTATATTTCTATATATATGTATATTATATGTCCTTGTTATCATCACAATTCACTTAATCATTGTCTGATTGCCGAAGTTTTGTTGAGATTTGTTAAATCATCATTTATTATAACGCGGTCACCATCGTCGTCATCATCACCACCATCATCATCGTCGTCACCATCATCATCATCACCGTCATCATTCAACTTAATAAACTCCCACGCTTATGTTATCCTTATCCTGGCTCTCTTTGTTTCATTTTATATTTCTTTCATTTTTTCAATCTTATGCATTATTAGGCTGTATTTGATGTTATTATTTGTAATTTGATGTAACTATTATCGTTACCTTTCATAACAATAGTTTAACAATACTACTACTACTACTACTACTACTACTACTACTACCACTACTACTGCTACTACTACTACTACCACTACTACTACTACTACTACCACTACTACTACTACCACTACTACCACTACTACTACTACTACTACTACTACTACTACTACTACTACTACTACTACTACTACTACTACTATTACTGCTACTACTAACACTACTACTACCCATTTCTATTCTTTTTTTCTTCTTTTTCTTATTATTATATTAATAATAGTAGTAGTAGTAGTTGTAGTAGTAGTAGTAGTTGCTGTAATAGTAGTAGTAGTTGCTGTAATAGTAGTAGTAGTTGCTGTAATAGTAGTAGTTGCTGTAATAGTAGTAGTAGTAGTAGTAGTAGTAGTAGTAGTAGTAGTAGTAGTAGTAGTAGTAGTAATAGTAGTAGTAGTAGTAGTTGCTGTAATAGTAGTAATAGTAGTGGTAGTAGCAGTAGCATTAGTAATAAGAATGATTGTTAAGTTTTGCTATAAGACTACTTGAAAAGTTATCATCATCATTGACATCGTTAATGATGAATTTTCTCTATTAATGTTACTTTTGTTCTTATCTAAACTGCTGAATGTCATCTCTAATGTTGTTTTGCTGTTACTGTTATTGTAATTGATTTATCTAGCTACATTGTAGATACAAAGGCATCCTTTTATGAGGAAGCTGGGCTGATGTGAGGTATATTTAATTGTTAACAGCTTTAACCTTCGTAAAACATTATTTAAGCGTTTTCGTTGTTGTTCTATGATATTATTGCTAATGTATCTTTCCTATTTGTTCTATGATATCATTGTTAATGTATCTTTGTTATTGTTTTATGATGTCATTGTTAATGTATCTTTGTTATTTGTTCTTTGACATCATTGTTAATGTACCTTTGTTATTTGTTCTATGATATCATTGTTAATGTATCTTTGTTATTGTTTTATGATATCATTGTTAATGTATCTTTGTTATCGTTCTATGACATCATTAATACTTTAAGTAAATACATTTAATTGTCTTTTATTGTTTTGTTGTGTTGTCTTATTGTCACTGTTCGTTATGTACGTTATGATGTTAAATTTATTCAACATCATAACATTTAACAACTCTGGTATTGATCTATGACATTAATCATGGATTTTCATAACTCTTCAATGACATTAATGTTCTATGTCTATACCGATGGCATTTTTTATTGTTGTTATTTATCCATTGTTGTTTCATGTCATGATGTCATAATTTATGTAAATACTAAATGTAATTTCGTTAATGCTACACGAGATCGTTGATGTAGTTTTGTTGTTGATGTTATTGTTGCTATCTGAATTGATGCTGGTATCAGGTTTTTTTTATGGGTTAATAAATACACTTGACTTTGTATTTATGGCCATATTTCCCGATCGAGTGGATGATGTTGGCTCTAAATATGATGTTGATTTTGTTGATGCTGTTGATGATACTGATGATGATTGCGTTGATATTGTTGTTGGTGATGATGGTGATGCTGTTGTTGATGATGATGGTGATATTGTTGATGATGTTGATGATAATGACGGAGTTGATATTGTTGTTGTTAATGATGATGATGATGATTATGTTGTTGTTGATGTTGTTGTTATTGAGGTTGCTCTTGTTGTTGCTGTTGTTGTTGTTGTTGTTAATGTTGTTGTTGATGCTGTTGTTAATGTTGTTGTTGATGTTGTTGTTGGTGTTGTTGGTGTTGTTGTTATTGTTGTTGTTTTCATAAATGAAGAGGAGTAGTTTTTAGTTGTATTGAAAGCAAACAACTTTCTGCGATTCAATGGGATGGTGATTGAATTGTGCAACAACAACCCACGCGTTCACGTTTTTGTTTCTCTATAATTTATTTCGCTGATGTTCAAAAATATAAACTACTTCAAAAGTAAAAGTTAAAATAATTTTGAAATTTCAGTTTAAACTTTGATCATAGTTTGGAGCTGTGTTGGAAAAATTAGTTATTTCTATGTTTTTAACCTAATTCTGCGGTAACACTCTTTCAACTTTTGTGCAATATTCATGAGTTCGCTCGTTTGAAAGGTCATTTAATGCGTGACCTTGAAGACTAATGACTCGTTTGAATAAAAATCCAATTTTCTTTTTAAAACTAATTCGATTGTGAAAAACATAGATACGAAACTTAGAATCAACTTTCGATTTTGCAATTATATGTGATTTTGATGTAAGGTGTGATGTGAGTAATTTTTATCCTAATCAATGAGACTCAATTCCATCACAAATGACTGTTCAGTTACAAGTATTTTACAAAATTTCAGCTATCAATTTAAATGCACATTCCTGTAATAACCATGATATGTAATAACATTAATAAAAATCTGAGTTTTGTTAACTTTAAAAATGTTTTTTTTACAAATAATATGAAATTGATATAATTGTTTGATCTTCCATTGAGCTTTCCTATTTTATGGATATTGTAGCCATCCTCGAATTAGCTTTGTATGTGCGTGCAAGTGTGCGTATGTGGTAATGTTATAGATACTTCGTTAATATTTATTTAATTCTCACTGTTTGTAAATTCGTGAAAAAGCATTGTATGTTATTAATTCATAACCATTAGTATTTATTATTCAGTTTTAACCATGCATATTCGAATGACTTGAATTTATCCATTTTTATTTTACTTTAAAAATAAATTCAAAATTATTTTAATGGCTTTCTCATTTTGAAATTCAAATAAAAGTTTTAATAATACTTAATATCAATGAACTTTTGAAAATGGAAATAATAATTAGAAGTTAAAAATCAGAAAATCACAAAAATCTTAGATACAAGATTATTATTTTATTATTCTTTTACCGAAACGGAAAACTGAAATAAAAACTGCACACATTGTCATGCAATACATCATTACAATTATATATAACAAGGGGTGGGCAAGCTACGGCCCGCAATGCTATTTTATGCGTGCCAGACATCATGACATTATGACTAAAAAAAGAGCCACAAATCTTTAAAAAATTCTCCCCCGGATCC